TGGGCACTCATTGTTGTTGAGCTTACATTCGTTGACGTGAGTCACGTCTTTTCTCTATCAAATCAGTAATACTTTGGTCCAAGGAGACTAATCTGAGCAGTGACAGCCTAATGCTGGGATGCACTGACATGCGCTGAGCTTATGCTAGCGTCTCACGGTCATCAGGCCCTCCTATAAACAGCGCGGATTATTGATGTACACATCTGGAAGTCTATGGAGGTTCACCATGGGTCTGCGAAGCACCAAATCATTTCTCTTCACACTTTTTGTTATTTGAAATATCACTTGCATTTTTATTCTGTTGCAGGCAAACCTCACGTTTTCTTTCTTTCTGTTTCTAGATTCTCTACACAGTTAGAGAATTAGCTTCACTTTTATATATAACTGTGATGCACACCTTAATAAAATTAGAGAAAACATTTCTTTCCATTCACCCTTTATTATTATTCTTGTTATGGTATCAAAGCATATTTTTCATGCTTCCTCTGTTTTTTGTCTAACAGCCATAACAACTATTTTTTGAAATATCTCCTCCTTGCTTATCTGCTTGTTTTCATTGAAAAACACCATGATATCTCAACCAACAGAGCCTTCCACATCAAACCCATCTCGACTAGCTCAGGAGCTCCCTTTCAAGTCCATATTACCTCCACCCAAACGAAAATCCATCACCTGTTCTTGTGTCAACTCCCCTCATTGGATCCAACTATTATGGTTGGTCCAAATCCATGCATATGGCCTTGCTATCCAAAAATAAAATCAAATTCATCGATGGCTCTATCTTAATGCACGATCGAAGTCATGACCTTTAACCTTATTGGGAGCGATGAAACACCATGGTGCTATCATGGTTGTAATATTAGTTTTTGAATCAATAAGAAATAGTGTGCTCTAGCTAGACCACTGCAAAAGACATTTAGGATGATTTTGAAGAACGCTATTCCCGAGTGATGCGTTTAGAATCTCCGATCTTCGGGAAGAGCTTTATTCTCTTCACTAAGGTGCGTTAACAATCTCTAAATACTACACACACTTGAAGATGCTTTGGGATGAGCTCACAAACCTCGGACCAATTCCCGATTGTGTTTATAAGCCAAAATGTATTTATACTACACTTACTGTCATCCGAAACTACATATCTAATGATTATATAATCGGGTTTTTGAAAGGATTGAATGATATTTTTTCAAATGTCAAGCCTCAAATCATGCTACTTGGATCCATTGCCCTCTGTCAATAAAGTCTTTGCCATGACATCTCAACATGAGAGGCGGTTTGTGTCTTCTGCTAGCTCTCCTTCTTCCGATATTGCATCCGGGGCCTTTTACGACAAGACTATTTCCAAGTTTCAAGAGAAATTCCAAAATGTACCTTAAGGATCAAAGTGGTATAATGGAGTCTGGACCACGGAAGACATATCCGACTAATTCTCCTATTTGCTCATATTGCGATAGAGAAGGACATGCCGTTTATAAGTGCTACAGAAGCATGGCTTCCCACCTAGCATGAGAAAGAAGCATAGATAGACAATGAATTCGATCAATTATATTGATGTCGGTGGTAAAAATTATGGAGATGCCGATCAAGGAAGTAATCTCTTAAGTGTTTATTCTGCAGATACACGAGTTCTCTTCCTGCAAACGGCCTCTCACACGGGACCAATACTCTAAGTCGATGGCTCTTATGCAACATAATTCGCCACTTACGACAACTTCTAATGTCAACACCATATTCTTTAATTTTTCTCTCATCGCCGAGATGTCAAGTAATTATGTGTCTACATGTTCCTTTTTAAGTAACACAAAGTTTTTTTAGAAACATATCTAGATTATTGACTCGGGAGCAACATATCATATTATTTACTCTCTAGACTATTTCACTTCTCATAAACTTCGTTTCCAATGTATTTGTTAAGCTTCTTACTTGGTCGGCTCACTTCTATCACTTATATTGGTCGGATTAAGATCTAAAGTGATTTTGTTCTTTATTCTGCCTTATTTGTTCTTGCATTTTCTTTCAATCTTATATCCACTAGTAAGCTTTGCTTTGTTTCTAACTCGTTGTATAATTCTAAAGTCCGATTGTTGTATTATTCGGGACCTAGCATGTTGGAGGACAATTGGATTAGGTAAATAGCTCAATGGCCTTTATCAACTTGTTCATCCATAATTTTGTAGAAATACGGACCCTCACCCTCCTTCAGAATGATCTTCTTCCGTTGCATCATTAACTCGCAAAAAGTGCTCTAAAAAAATGCTCTATCACTCCTCATATTTGGCATAACGATTAGGACATGCTTCTATATCTAGAATACAATTACTACAAAACATAGATTCTTCCATCACTCGTGAATCCCGATGTAATCTGTGACATTTGTCACTTTACAAAACATATGAAATTATCATTTTCACGTCGGCACATCTCGTTACCAATGTATGTTTTGATCTTATTCACACCGATATCTAGGGTCCAATGTTTGTTAGCACGATTCAAGGTCACATATACTTCTTAACAATTATTAATGACTTTAGTAGAGCTACATGGATTTTTCTCATGAAAGCCAAATCGAAGCCGAATGTTGCTTCATAATTTTTACATCTTTGTCCAAACATAATTTTTTGCTTCGTCAAATGCATCGGATCGGACCAAGGAAAAGAATTTGATATGCCGGAATTTTATGGATCTCATGGCATTGTACATCGGATCTTTTGTGTCCACACTCTAAAATAGAATAGTGTGGTAAAACGAAAACACCAACACATTCTCATGCGGCTCGTGCCTTAAGGTTTCAAGCTCACCTCCTCTCTCTTTCTAAGGTGAGTGTGTTTTACATGCTCGATCACTTGATAAATAGAATCCTTTCCCCTGTCATCAATAACCATACTCCATTTTACCTATTATATAACAAGACACCTTGTTACGGTAATCTCGAGTTTTTGGTTGCCTATGTTATGCCTCTACCAATAACCAAGGGAGATCAAAATTTGACACAAGAGCTACTAAATGTATGTTCTTAGGATTTTCTTATGGCACCAAAGGTTACAAATTATACAACCGTCAAACTAGACAATTTCTTATTTCCGGAGATGTACTTTTTCATGAAACAATCTTCCCTTTTCATTCTTCTTCATTCCCTTATCGGGATCCTATTCGAGTCAATCTTTAAACTCTCCAGATTTAATTTGTTCAACTTCTCATTCTTTTGAGCCTGATTTTTCTTTTCCATCCGACATATCCTCTCTATCCACTACTCAAATCCAACTCCCTAACCCTATACTCCCGATTCAACGCCTCCCGACCCAATACCTTGTGTTCCTCTTAGAAGATCCATCGGATCACACATTACCCCATCATAACTTCAAGACTACCATTGTAGCCTCACAACGCAATTGTCTCAATCCAATTCATCCTCCGCATCGAGTTCGAAATCATCATCATTAAGTAAAATTTCCTCCCCTCGCTCTTTTGCTTCGTCTTGTCTTACAATAATGTTTCTTTTCCACACAACATTTTTACAATTAACATTAGCACTCAATCTACACCTACCACCTATAATCAAGCCATTAAACGAGTCTTGTTGGAAGGATGCTATGCGGACTAAGATTACTTGCTTTACGGGATAACAACACTTAGGAAATTACCGACTTACCTTCTTCCAAGCATCTTATTAGCTCGTAAATGGGTATACAAGATCAAACACAAGGTTGATGCCTCCATCAAGAGACACAAAACTAGACTTATGGCCAAAGGATACACTCAACAAAATAGAATCAATTACCTAGAAACTTTTTCTCATGTTGCCAAAATGACAACCGTCGGGACTCTTTTGCCATAGGCTGCTACAAAGAACTGGTTTTTACATCGGCTAGATGTCAACAATGCCTTTCTTCATGGTGATCTACATGAAAAAGTATATATGGAACTCCCCTAGGTTTCTTTTCTCCTAAACCCAATCAAGTATGCAAGTTTCTTAAATCCATCTATAGTACGAAACAAGCAAGTAGACAATGGTTTTCTAAGCTTTCGAAGCCTTATTGCGACGAGGGTTCAAGCAAACACAATCAAATCATTCTTTATTTATCAAATCCACTAATTATGGATTCATTGCAGCCTTAGTTTATGTCGATGACATCATACTTGCCGGTGATAATATGGCATGCATTGATCAACTCAAAGTGTTCCTCCATAATACCTTCAAGATAAAGGACCTAGGCAATCTGCATTTTTCCTTGGTCTAGAAGTGGCCGGAACGCATTCGGCATCAACCTCTGCCAATGTAGGTATGCCACGGAGTTGCTAAGTGACACTTGGATTTCTTTACGGTGAACTCCGCCAAAACTCCTTTGCCACCGAAGACCTCATTAGCAAAAGATGACAATGATCCTCTAACGGACATTACCTCTTACAGGAGATTGATTGGTAGGTTGTTATACCTTAACACCACTCGGTCTTGACATATCCTTCGTTGTTCAATAACTCTCTTAATTCCTAAATCATCTTACTCAATCACATTTGACTACTACACATCGTGTTATCGAGTACATCAAGGTCGCTTCGGCCAAAGGTTGTTTTTTCCTTCGATTCCACTAACCAATTACAAGGATTCTCCGACTTTGATTAGGCAACTTACCCTACAACCGGAAAATCCGTGAGTGGTTTCTGCATCTTTCTCGAAAGTTCCCTTATCTTCCGGAAATCTAAGAAGCAAATAACGGTCTTTCAAAGCCGAGTACGGATCCCTTGCCATTGCAACATGTGAGATTCAATGGTTACTTTACCTTTTATTAGACCTCCACACACTTCATCCTTACGCGAGCTTTGTTGTTCCGTGACAACCTTTCAGCAATCCATATAGCTGAAAACCATGTCTTTCACGAACATACGAAGCACATTGACATTGATCTGTCACATTATATGTGAAAAGTTACAAGCTGAAACTATTTGACTCTTGCCAGCTTCATCTGCCAATCAGTTAGTAGATTGCTTCACCAAAGCACTCCATGCACCTGCATTTCATTCTCTTATCTCCAAGCTTAGCATACATGACTTGGACGTTGAAGCTTGAGGAGGACTATTGGTGTACACACCTGGAAGTCAATGGAGGTTCACCATGGGCTTGCGAAGCACCAAATCATTTCTCTTCACACTTTCTGTTATTTGAAATATCACTTGCATTTTTATTCTGTTGCAGGCAACCTCACGTTTTCTTTCTTTCTGTTTCTAGATTCTCTACATAGTTAGAGAATTAGCTTCGCTTGTATTTATACCTCTAATGCACACCTTAATGAAGTGAAAGAAAACATTTCTTTCCATTCCATTCCCCCTTTATTATAATTCTTGTTACGGATCTTTCCAAATTCCCACAGTCGAAAAGGATAGAAACGGAACATGGAGCCTTTTCGAGGATGTCTCTGTTGACTTTTCTAAATTTCTAATTGAAGGGCGATCCGAGTGTCGAACAGGAATAATCACCGAAAAGGAGTAATCACTTAAGAATGTGAAGCATTGCACAGTAACAAGACTGCGATTTTGTTGTTCAAATTGACAGAAGGCGTTTCTAACTCGGTAAATTTTTCTAGAAAATGAAATCTTGTCCAATTTGTGTGACATGAAAAGTGGCAAGGCGCCTTCGAGTAACTCCTCAAGGTTCAAAGCGTAAACCGGTATGGGGCTTTCCTGGTTGGATTGGATGCTTCAAGAACACCGATAATGGGAGGGACGTTAAGTTGTTGGTGGAGACAGACAAAGATTTGAAGCTCAGAACCAACTCTAGTGTGTTGGATTGTGCGTCTTTTGTAAGCTATATGTCTTCTTGAACGGTCGTAGAAAAGCCTCACTGACAGGGTAACAAAAGCCAATTGCAGCATTTGATGTGATAACCAGGATGCCAAAACACTCATTCGTGAGCAGCTGCACATTGCTAGAGGTTTTAGCCTGTTAGCTTGATTAATTAACAAAAGCTGGAAACTAGTAACAGATTTCATGCTCACAGGTATGTTCAGTCAAGTTAAAACCAGTGCCTTGAACTTATTTGCAATGCAGTATGCTAGTATATCCAAGAAACATTTGCAATTCAAGATGAGACTGAGCGAAAGAGCATCCACAAACGGCATCTTGTAATACATTGAAGGGTCTATAATGGCAGCAAGTTTTGACAAGGAAGATATAAAGACGAGGATTTGCACAAATACAACATGTTTGGAATTCCTAAGGAACAAATTGATTTTTCTGCTAGCATTTATAATGTAACATGGCATTAGTAATCATCAACAAAGAAACCAAGCTTCTTCATTAAGCAAGGACAAAGCAGCAGAAAGTCAGGGGTAACCAATCGAATTCCCTGAATAAAGCAGTGAAAAGAACTATGGTACTGATACTCCAAATGTATGACTGCTTCAGAGGTTTTCCCTCAGGGATTCGTTTGATCATCCAAAACATTATAGGTCGGAAAGCGAAAACAGTCACAACCATGGCGATTCTGTTTACCTGAGTAAACGTTATTCCTTATGAAGCATATTTTGAGATTTCCTTGAGATTACACCAAACTACAACATACATACAGCTGAGCGATCCACTTATCATTGAAGAAGAGAGAGCAAGGCGGCCTGGTTCTGAATTACATGAATGGAAAAAACTACATGAAAGGAAGGAGCTGATATAAGCACAGCCAGAACATGGACATTCTGGTGAAGATCTTGATCCAATTCAAAGTTTCCTCCTAGATGCGAAGCCATCAATACTGCTATCACCACCAGAACCACAGAAGACATAAGGCCAGTAACCACTGCCGGTTTCCCACATTTCTTTAGGATGGTTTTATCCAGTCGTATGCTAAGCAGAAAAAGAACGAATTTGAAACCTATTGCTTGAAAGGTATCACTCATCAAATCCCTGATCTGATTCTTATATTAGATTCAGCCTAAAACACTGAACATATGTAGTTGGTTCTGTTTTTCTTGCTGACAGCAAATGTAAATAAGAGGAGATTCTTGCATAAAGGTCGTGGATCTGGGTCTTACAGCAAATCCTGTCACAAGAATCTTAAAGCATTCAATGTAGTTGCATGCATCACAGAATCTTAAATAGATGGTGCCGAATCCGTAACACTGGCTGTGGTAGCTTAGTTCCTGATGCTTACCAATTTTGATATGGAAAAAGATTTCCATTGATAATGGGAAAGCAATCTTTATATAATGTTTTATGATTAAAACAAAAAATGTATGGAAGAACTAAAGATTCGTACAGGATTGAATTGATTGGATTCTGATGTTTAAAGAGCTTGTTAAATGAATAAATACTGGCATGGTATTCTTTGGTTGGCACACGTAGGTCTATATAATATGTTTTAATATCATAAATAATTAAATATATATATATGTAAACAAAAATTAATTAATATCAATTTTGAAAATTGTGAAAATTTAATATGTATCGTGTAATATTTAATAAAATATTTATATTTCATATTTGAATTTAAATATATACTATAAATATGTTTGATTTTGATCAATTAAAAAAACATGCAATAAATTATTTATTTTCTAAAAATAAAATTAAAAGAGAGTGTTAAATCAATTTATATTGACAGAGTGTTTAATTTTAGTTAACGAGTAAAAAAAGATTAGCAATTGAAAAAACATATTATTTTGAGCAAATAATAAATATTAAAAAAAATAAAAGCATAAAAAAAGAGGGTTGGGTTGAGGTGACCGCCATGTCCTTTCAAATGGGCCTGGAGACAGTTAGGTCCGCACTATAGGCACTAAGAACAATCTAGCTAAAAAACGAAAGGATCTTGTTGTAACACGAATTAAGGTTTACAATCGTTTCCCATAAAATTTGAAGTCAAAGGAATAAAGTGTAAAAATACACAAAATATCTAAAAAGATTACTTATTTTATGAGTAAAACGAGATCGTTTCAATCCAACATGACAAAAAACGATACTGGTTTAGTGTGTACATATATAATACAAATATATTTGTCTTATATATATATATATATATATATATATATATATATGAAAATCTAATGTCACAGCACTAAAAACAGACGAATTCAGAGTTGCAACATTGGGAGAGGTAGAATGTATAATTGTGATTTCCAAAGAGCCATCATCAATTTTCTTCCCGTTCTTTTTACATTGAAAAAAAAAAAAATTCTAATTTCACAGTCACCGGAGACAGATGGATCTTGAGTTGCAACTTTGGAAGAGATAGAATGTATAATTCTGATTTCGAGAAAGCCATTTTGTAAGAACATCCAGAAAATTTTAAAAGTTCAAGAGGGATTTTGGAACATTTGAAAACAATGGGGGGCAGGGCAACCCTGGCCGCCTTTAGCGTCCCTAACAGAGGGATTTTGAAACATTAGAAAAACTTTGGGGGAGCCAGGGCAACCCCTGGCCGCCTCCTAGAGCCGTCCCTGACCACAGCACCGGAGACAGATGGATCTAGAGTTGCAACTTTGGAAGAGATGGAATTTATAATACTGATTTCCAGAGAGCCATTTTGTAAGAATACCCAGAAAATTTTAAAAGTTCAAGAGGGATTTTGGAACATTTGAAAACAATGGGGGGCAGGGCAACCCTGGCCGCCTCCTAGAGCCGTCCCTGACAGGAGACATGATCATTTGCACGAACTAGCATGTCTGTTTTTAACACTAATTTCATCTGTAGTGTCTTCAATCATCTGCGACAAATAACAGAATTTAGTCTCCAAATAGTATAGTGAGCTACCAATGACCATTTATCTATTAACATTTCCGGTTAAAGATTATATTGAGGGATAATTTCACCCAAAATCTGGAGCACCCAAGATGGTCCTTAGCTTCCTATATTTGTACAAATGAGGCATAAAAATTCTCAGAGGTGCAGACCACTTCAGTAGAACCTCATTGTTAGTTTTAAGACACAGAAGAAGATTGTCATCAAGCTTCAATAGCTCCATAATCTTTGGTTGATTTACGTCGACTCAAAACATTGCGCAATCGAGGGAACTTTCCAGATGAATTTACTTCGTAGAATCTGACAGAAGGACCGTCATTCTCCTCCGAGTTTAGCGCAGTCCTGGAATTTATGGAGATTCCATCTCTTTTCTTGGATCTAAACTTTCTAGGAACTGCTGCAATCTCTGAGTGATTGAGACTGGCCCGGCTCACTTCAGAGTAGGTTTCAAGCTTTCCCAGGTTAACGTCAGAGTAGGAGGCTTCAAGCTCCGAGTGATTTACACTGAGTTGGGTCACTTCAGAGAAGGATCTGGTTAGCAAAGTTCGATCCTTCAGAAACAAGCATATAACTGCACAATCATCGACCTTGCAGCCGGGATATTTACTTCTCCATGCACGAGCAGCATACTTTACTACCAATTTAGCAGCCATGGATCTCTTCCTTACAGAAGCAACAATCTTTACGACCTCGTAGTTTGTTAACACATCCCAGACCTGCAAGTAATATAAAAATCCTTGAAGTCCAGTAGGCAAATCGAATATAGTGAAAAAGTAATCAATAATCTATATCACCATAAGGCTTATGTCACAATTGACAAGGACAACAGCACAGGCTTTCTCATTCCATTCTGTCCAAACAGATAGTGCAGTTTTGCCTAACACTAGATTATGATTATTGCATTTCCTGTCAATTTACTGCCTCTCTAGTGAATTCAATTATCTTTCAGTTTCAGGAACTTCAATAGTGAACAATAACTGGTTAATCAATAAGTTTTGCGGATACTTTAATTTGTGTCTAAAAAAAATTGATTTTTTATTTCTCTTACCCCATCAGTTGCTAGAACCACAAATTCATCCTTGTCGGTAAGCTTTCTATAAGAAACTTCGGGGGTTGAAATGAGGCCGTAATCTTTCAGGCAGAAATCTCCAAAAGCTCTTGCCATCGCTAGACCAGGGCAATCTTCATCAGGCATCCATATTCTGAACACTTCTGGTTCTTGATCCAACGCAAAAACTCTGCCATTGGAGTTCTTGATTCTTTCAGCTTCACCTGAGTTACAGTAAGAATCAAAAGAAGGTTAGTTAGACTTCATAATCCTTGTCATGTATTGAAAAGGTAATGAGAAAACACCGACTCGTAATATTCGGTTTTAAATCAACAGTGAGTTGGACGGGAACGAGTTGGTTTTTGGGGCCCCTAGAACAAAGAATGGCACGAGAATCGCCCAAGTTGGCAATTATCAGGTGGTTTCCCTGAAAATTGGAAATAATAATAAAAAAAGATATCAGAAACAGAGAAGGAAAAAACTCTATCCGTTGACAATGAATTTACTTCCGAGTGTAATTCTACCTCTTTAATTATAGTCACAGCAGTTGTACCACTGCAGAAGCTATCAATGCTAGCATCAAGACTAAGTTCTTCATCCATGGCCTTAAAGGACTTAATGAAGTTGGTCTCCCATGAAGATAACAGCAGACTGCTACTATCATCATCATCGATATTATCTCTGTCACCTTCGTTTTTATTGACCTTATTATCTTCTTTTCCGTCAACATCTCTACGTTTGAAGCTATTATTCTGTGACGTTTTGATTGCTCTAGAGAGCGTTGAGGGTAAAGTGTCACGTACATGGCGTGCAACTTTGTGGCCATAGGGACCGTGACCATCAAAAACTCCACAGAAAAGCATGTCTTTATCACCAGTAAATTCCTGAATCAAGCTTCAAGATTTAGTTGAATACAAGAGATTGATCAGGTACTATCATTCAAACGAACGATGCTTTGAAGAATATAGAGCATAAATCAAGATGAGGCATGGGGTGTCTCTCAGGAAACCAAAAGGGTTATTGCAGCCGTACGTATTGACAACTTAAACAAGAGAAAAGAAACAATAATGGTGAAAGCAGTGAGACAATTCGTGAATCAAAATATGCAAACAAATAAGTTAAACATTAATTACAGCAAAAATTCTTAGCGGGATATTGTCCAAAAGTTTTGAATTTCATCTTCGTTAAATGATATAGTAACCTTTTTCAATTATCTCCATGAAAAGAAAATGATCCATAAAAAAACATTGCTTAATTGGACATTAATGAAAAACTACAATAACAAAAGGAAAAATAAACCAAGGCCAATAAATGTGGTAACTAACAGAACATAACGATTATGGATGGATCATATGAGGGGGAAAAAAGGAAGCAAAGAATGATGTGCCTATCATTTTTTATTACCTCCCAAACAGTCATGGCATCTTGATTGATCCCTTTTCTTCCTTGTTGGGTGTACATTGATGTATATTTTGAAGCTCCATATAACCTCATACGGGCCCCATAATCTCCAATAATGATATGACCTTCCTCATCATCCTCTTGTTCTTTCTCTGCTATAGCAACCTCTACCACCCCATCACCATATGTTTCCCTACTGCAACAGGCTCCCATTCTTTGAGCAACTAAAAATGTCAAGCAAGAAAAAAAAAAGACCAAATCAGACCCACCAAAATCCAATCAATACCAACAAGAAGGAAAACGAAGGAAGATGAGATTTTCCATGGACCCCAGAGGCTGAAATTAGGAAGGGGCAAAGGTGAAAAACTCAAGGCGATAGATTTCATATACAGCACAACATTTTATTTGGATGAGAAAAAACAGAAACTAAACATGCCACACAGCTAGCCAATAATGGGACATTATCTTTTGTAGGATACAGATCAGAACACAACCACATTTTAGTTTGGACTTATTAAGAATAGAACACGGCATGTTCCTCGTTTGTATCTTCTAAGGTAAACTATTTTAGCCCTTATAGATTTAGTAATATTTCACTTTGGTTTCTATAGTTTAGGTTTCCTACTTTTGATCCAATAAGTTTCAAAGTTACATGTTCCAGCATGTCTCTTAATTGTTAAATAATTTGCATAAGTTGATGACTAACTGAATTTTTGAATCTTTCTTTATTCAGTTTTTAAGAATTTTGATGATATTATCCATGTTTGTCATTAGGTTTTGTTATCTATATAATGGCTGCTGGTCAAGGGTGACACTGAAACTTTTGGAAACTACAAGACTAATTAATAATATTCTGAATTTTAAAACGAAGTGGAATATTTTAGAAATAATAGGGTTAAAATATATTTTACCCTATGTTTTAATTTTTATGTTATTTTTCTTTTTTTATTAAAATTTTTAGGTTATTTTTAAAAATCATTTCAGATACATGTGAAGCCAGTCAAAAGGAGTAAATTATAAATTAGTCTCTCTCATTTCAAGAAATGAATTAATTAGTCCCTCTAGTTTTAAAAACTAATTATTTAATCCATTTTATTCTTTTTCATTTTATTTTAATTTTTTATTTTAAAAAAATAGAAAAAGAATAAAAATATGTAAAGATTGATGAGAAAAAAGATATTTTATAAGATAAAAAATTATTAAATTAGTCATGATCAACAATGATTGAAAAAACTAAATAATTAGTTTTTGAAATCAGAAAGATTAATTAATTCATTTTTTGAAACGGGAATGACTAATTTATAATTTACTCCTGTCAAAAAAGCTCTTCTCCCCGAAAAAAAGAAGAAAAAAAGTCAAGAGATCGAGCTCCTATCGCTAATGTAATTACTAAAATGAGATAAAGTTACTACTTATTTTTCATTTTTCAGTCACCTAAAATACCCTCTCTCTTGTTATTTAGTTAGTTACCCACAAAAAAAAAAAAAAAATCAGAAAATTATGTTTGAGATATCCTGCCTTATATTTCATTCACTTGCAATATTTCCTTTCGGATTATTGGCAATATATTAATTGTTTTGTTTCAAACTCCCATTTATTTCCTTTTTTGACTTTTCGAGCTAGATTCAAATTTTTTACCATTTTGATTTTTTAAATCCAAATATTCGGACACTATTCAGGAAAATTTATTAAACTTTTTTTTTTTAATGCATCAAGACGACTATATTGGAAACACATTTTAAAAATTATCCAAAAAGAGATTTAGACTCATTCAAGGATATTATTACCATTGAACCAAAAAAAAAAAAAACTCCAATCAAAATAATTTGATCAATTAAAATTTTGACTATCTAACATCTAATTCCTTCACTTTTCAAAATAGATTTGATTGCGTCAAATCCTCTACTTGCTCTCTCATTTCATTTGTGTTTGAAAGTTTTGCAGAGACAATTATCTTTTTTATGTTTTTGATCCTTTAGGATATTTTAATCTCAAATATTTAGATTAATTTTTTATTATTTTGCAAAAAGCATAACGTCAGAGACAAATTTTTGTATACACAATAACTCAAATTTAAAACTATTTATTTAAATAATTAAAATTATTTTTATTCAAATCAACTTTTTTGGATCACGGATCTATTTAAACTATCACAGCTCTTTTCTTTTAAACCGACAACTAACTCTCTTGTATCGGGACAACCATCCAAACGTAAAAGAATAGCATACAAGAAATCCTCACGATCACAAGTATGTCAAGTGGTACATGCATCATGCATGGTTATTGAAATGGCATGTAAGCGTAGCATTGATGCATCAAATGTGGAAGATTTTGGCTCCCCATACAATGAAAAGTTAAGATATGTTAAGAGGAGGCTGCTCCTCACAAAATGACCAAACAAGAATATATATATATATAGGCATGTGTATTCTGGTGTCCTTGTAGTCGTAGACAGTCCCAGGCTATGATCAATGGACAAAGCATGACATAGTTTTTGTCCTATTTGCCTAGGTTGCTGCATTGTGTTGTTTGCTGATCTTAATAAAAACGAAACTGATGCCTGAAACTGAAACTTCGGAATATTCGCTGAAAAACACAGTAACCTTTATGAATCAACTGTGTTTTATTGCATAAGACACTAGTAGCCGTATATATATATATATATATATATGACCATCCTGTGATTTTATCATTGCAGATTCTATCATCAATGCAAAGCTATTTGCTTCTGTATTGGAGTGGTTTAGAAGTCCTTAAATGTCTGGACTGTATATGGTTCAGTCCATGGTCTGTTGCGGCTGCAGGATGTTTCTATAATACCTAGAGTTTTCTTATTTATGTATTTTTTTTTTTAGGATTATAAAATAAATCAATAGAATTTTTATACATTATTAAATTTATACTTTAATATATTATTAATTATTTTATTTATAATTATAAATGTGAAAAAAATTCTCATTCTAAAGAATGATCTATTAGATAGATAATATCGATTAATGATCTTTAGTGGTAGACTCCGTGTAAGAATCCAAGCATAACAAGAGCGTGGAAAAATTGCAAACCCTACCAAAATTAAATTACTAATTAAGAAATAAACTATTTTAGTGTATATATATATATATACACCACTTTATTATAAAAAAAAAGGCTCCGATCAAAATAATTCGATTCATATTAAAAAAAAAACACAAATTCATCTTCTAATCAGCAGCTGCACTTTCTTGATCAGAAACACAAGTAAATCCACACTTACTACAAGAATGCCTATCTAAGTGATTGGCCATAAACGTTCCAGGCCCACACTTTGGAGACTCCTTCCTCAGCCTCTCCACATTGCCACTCTGACTATCCACCTTATAAAACTTCAACACAGCAAGCTTTTCCTTCTCTTTCTCATGCTTGACCTTCTTTGGTGCAGTGTATGTCTTCTTCTTCTTCTTCTGGCCACCCCCTAGAAGCCTAAGCATGAGATGAAGAGTGCACCCCTTTTGGATTTTGTAGTAAGCTAGGGTTTCATTGTCTTCGAGTTGCTTGCCTGCGAAGATTAGGTGTTGCTGGTCTAGTGGGACTCCTTCTTTAGTTTCGATCTTAGTTTTGACGTTGTTGATGGTGTCTGAAGGTAACAAATCGAGTGTAAGGGTTTTTTCTGATGGGAATTTGACAAAGATTTGCATGTTTTTTGAATTTTTCTCAGTGTGGCAGAGAATCAGTGAGCCAAAGTCTCAAGATAACAAGAAGAAATTAGAGAGCACCTAAGAAGAACGCTAGGGCTAGGGTTATATATACAATATATATACAGAATTGTTGGAAGGTCGGTTATCCAAGTATTTTGGTTGAAGTAATTGACCTTTGATATTTTGGATTAATAATTAGGTTTTTTAACTGCAATTTGGACCGAAAGTTTTGGCCCATCATCTCCCACTCTCAATTTTTCGTAGGAAAAAATAGAAAGATTAATCATGAAGAAAAGGTAAACGATCCTAAACTTTTCGTCAATAAAATATAATCCTTAATTTTAAATATTTTAACTTGATTTTGGTCCTTAACTTTTTTATTAGGAACGTCACCCAGTGAAATTTGATTTTAAACAATACACATGCGATGTCGTTAAACTTTAAAGCATGCATGACATGATATGTATCCGAAGAGACATCCACCGACAAAAATAAAAGAAGAGAAATAAATTAACATTTGTTATCAAATAAAATAAGTAAAAGAAAAATAGGATTAAAATCCAAACATAAAACCTTGTTTGTGGAGCTTTTTAAAGCAAATAAAATCGACATTATTATCGATAAGCGATTTGTTAATATGATCAATTTACTAATTAAACCAAGCACATTTAATTAAATTTTATGTTATTTCATCAAAAATTGAAAAAATAAAACCAAATAAAAAACCTCATATTCCTCTCAAATCTCAAACAACCATCAAATTCCTTCGCCCACTACACCATTTCTGTATCCCACCAGATAAATAAAATAAAATAAAAATGTCAAGCTGCCCCACATACAGATCTTTTATATATATTTTCTTGTTTCATCTAAAACTACAAGAAAATTAGCAATTAGCGATGGATATTAGTGACGGATGCAATTCCGTCTCTAATTAGAGATAAATTAATGACGGATGAGAAAAAGATGATTTTTATGAGTGATCGGCGATAGAATAGTGAGGGATACTCGGTGATGAATTTAATTTCATCGCAAAATAGCATGATAAAAAGGGCGCCACATTCAACGACAAATTTCCATCACCGATTTAGCTATAGAAGTAGAACCGCCACTATCGATTGGTAAATAGTCACGGATTTATCTCGTCGCTAAATAAAAGATATCAAGGCTACCCTCGGGTATCAAATTAGCAACGAACTAGTGATTTGTCGCTATTTTGGTGATTTTTCGATGGAATGTTTTGTTATATCGGTTCAAATAAGTGATGGAATTGGTTCCGTTGCTAATTTGAATTTTAGAATAGCGATGGATTGTCATATCCGTTGCTATTTTGGCTCTTTTTAGGAAACAAAATCTATACAAAACGATTCAAATTAGCGACGAAATTGCAATATTTTGCTAATTTGATTTTTAAAATGTTCAAATCGTCGCTATTTTGGCACTTTTTAAAGAAAATTGGGAAACTTTTAGCGCTATGTTTCAAATTAGCATGGATTGTCAATTTAGTGACGAAATCACGTCCATCGCTAATTTGAAACC